TAAAGACATCGACTTTTTAGGTCAGGTAATTAAATATGTTGATATGTTCTTATCAACCCCCGAGGAAATAGTCACAAGTGTGTGACATATACATTGTAATATATACCATTACCATTCGATACGGCGTGGTTTTTCTATACTACCTAATATTATAAAGAGGTAAAATTTGTAAGTTTGTATGTAGGGGGCAACCTTTGGAACCGCTGGTCGGATTTCCAAAATTCTTTCACTAATACGATAATACTAAGCTACAGTGTTCCTGAGTGCTATAGGCTATTAAACATCACGCTACGATTGAATAGAGCCGAGCAGCGGGTGAAACCGCGCGAGAGTCGGTAGCTAGTAGTGAATAAAAGTCTTACACTTGCTAAAGTCTAGCCTCATAGCTGAGGAAGAAGAAGTAGTCTAGTTTTCTTCAGGAAGAGTCTGACACTCCCTATCGTCGTGTACAAGGCGGGAGAACGCATTTGATGATGATTTTCTACCCATAAAATACGACACAAAATCAAATAAAAAATTCATTTTAGGTCTCTGTATAACAATTTTATTTATTTCGCAACACGAACAATATTTTATAATACCTGTCCAATATCTGTTTCACACTGAAACATGATAATTAAAAAAATAAAACCAACATGAAATAAGTAAATATTGAAATTGTAAATACGTTGTATAAACAAAGCAAATAAAACAAACGAATATCTTCCTTTTTATTTCTGTTTTATTTTTGTTTGGAGTATTTTTATCTGTAATTTGGGATTACCCCGCGGTATATCGAATGGGTGATTGCCTTCAGCCATCGGGAAAAAAGTACAAGTAGGTATGCCTAAAATGTTTTAATTGACTACACCACTAACTCTTACCTGCGACTTCACTTACCTATACTAAGTTTTTTTGTGTTATCTAATTACATAATTGCATACGACATTCAATTATCAAAAATTATAAAGAGGAAAGTTTTGATAGTTTTTGTTTGAACTTGAATAACCTGAAACTACGTAATCGATATGAAAATATCTTTCACTATTTGAAAACTTTATCCCCAGTAGATGCATACTTGCGATATATTTTTAGTTTAAGTTTAGGACCTGTAATATAACTCCAATAACGTAACTAAAGCGTAAAAAAAGGAGGAGGTCCTTTTTGAAGTCGGTTAAAAAGTTCTTTACCTCCTTAGTTAGTTCCTAACGTGCTCTGCGAAAACGATTGATTAAACGTACTTAGTGATTTACTGCAAGGTGTCCTAGACTCATTAATATCTACAAATATATTGCGGAACCATAAATTTGTCGAACTATTATATTAATGTCACTACAAAAGTGTTTTTTCTAATCACTCGCGCTTTCGGCTCTCTACGAAGGGTTCATTTAATATATTTTATAAGGTTTATCTCCATAAGTGTGACTTGTTTAAGAAGGTATCTAGAAGTTCTAAACAATACAGGCATCACATTTACACGCGCCTTCTGCCTGCGTCCGGCAGCCCCATTTTTATGATGAAACACAACGCAAGCTTTGTTTCACGCCGCTATTATGTGAGGCCGTTTTATTGCTTCAGTCGATTAGGCCCATAACTATAGTGCCATATAATGCTGTCTCACACTTAAAAAACGCAAACTTTTTTTGATAGGGGAATATTAGTAAATTATTTCTCTAGCTAGAGTTCCTTCTCCTGCTCCAGGCCGGTGCCTGCAACCTCGGCTGAAAAACATCACCTGATCACCAAACAATTGTTACTGGTTTTAATCATTAAAGTTCTAGCTTACAATCCAATAGACCTATTTTCAAAGGAATACTTCCATCTACTTAACTTCAGTAAGTAGTATGTACGTTATATGTTGAGATTTATCATTGTTCTTGGAGTAATGTGTTTGTTTGTACATAGGTACACTTAACCAATTGAGAGGCAAATTCAAATTGAGCGTACGAACAGTACTGTAACGCTCTGTTGAGTGATAAATATAGTAAGTTTACTCAGGTGAATTAGGTATAATATTAAAATATTCGTCAAAATCTTTAACGTTATAGAAATGTAACATTATTGTCACGCCTTTTTTATGATTGTAAGTTATTTAAGATGATTATGATGCAGATATTTTTATTGGAATAAGAAGCGTTGTGTTTCGCTGTGTGAGTGAGGTTACCGGAGACCCAATCCTTCCCCTCCCCCGATCCCTCCCAATCCCTAAACCTCCAAAACCCTAATCCCTAAAAGGTCGGCAACGCACTCGTTACTCCTCCGTTACGGGTGTCCATGGGCGGCGCTGATTACTTACCATCAGGTAATCCGTCTGCTCGTTTATTTATTATATATATTTATGCTCGGTTATTCAATAAAAAAAAGTAGACAATGGTATATCTCATTTATAATTCCGAGTAGGAAATCGAACCTGAAACTCCTCTGATTCGTGCCCTGTTAACCTAGAACATTTTTTATTGTGAATAGCGCCATCTGTTCCCTGAGCAAGGAACGATTTATTGCAGTGTTACCATTTCTTAATTTAATAAAAAAATACCTTATTATCGAAGCAAATATATTATTAATTATTAATGACACTGTAGCGACATCTAGCGCCCTACATAAACAACAGCACCAATCACGTGCAAGTGCCTACATCGCGCTATAAGAGTTTTCCACACAATTAGCACCCATACAGATATCCCGACAACAACCGTCGGGCAGTAGCCCACCAGGCACGAACACCTCGCCTGGTCGGAGGATCCTCCCTTTTCAATGGAGGATGAGGAACTTTCCACCCTGTTCCTCATACCTCTAAATTGGTGACCCCGAGCATGAACATCAACGCAGCCTTCGTGCAACTACGTCGAGCTTTCAAGCAGCGAGTCTACAGTCAGCCAGCTTCCATGGCTACAACGGGTTCCCTGACCACCAGCATGCAGCCGACGCGCATTCCTGGTCAGCACCTACAGCCTCATCAGCAACTTCGGCACAGCATACTGCACCGGCCGGTCAGCAAGCAGAGACGTACTCCCTCTCCTAGTCGACGCAGCAGCTAGCCACCCTTCAGCACTGCACCACCCGACTCACTGGGGCATCTTCGCAGACAGATTCGACGCACGGAAACCATCAACTGGCTCGACAAACATCTCACAGACGTCTCAACCAGCTAACGACCTCCGGTCTCGGAGGGGAGTGATGTAGCGACATCTAGCGGCCTACATAAACAACAGCACCAATCACGTGCAAATGCTACATCGCGCTATAAGAGTTTTCCACACAATTAGCACCCATACAGATATCCCGACAACAACCGTCGGGCAGTAGCCCACCAGGCACGAACACCTCGCCTGGTCGGAGGATCCTCCCTTTTCAATGGAGGATGAGGAACTTTCCACCCTGTTCCTCATACCTCTAAAACACTATTATATAATTATTATGTATTATTAATGGCATTCTTACGATTTAAGTGTCATAAGAGCACTTTATGGATCCTAATCGTTAGCAACACTGAATCTTTCCGTTACAAAAAAAATATGGCGTTGGGCTCGTCTTCTTTCGTAAATTTTCTTGCACTGTTTGGTATTTTTGTTATCTGTTGATTTGATATTTGATTTAATGAGGAGGAACAAAATTCTACAAAAAATCAGAAATTCCAGTACAGACTGCTTTTTGTAAAAATGCTTGTACCTACATAAATAGGCTCATAATATTGAAAATAACAGCTTCTTCACGTGAATTAACTGACAAAACTCTACTAGTTTGTAGAAACTAGTAGTCTTTTTCATTTTCATGAATTTATTAAGATAATGATATTTAAATTTACTTTGGCTGCGGGACTTTTCTCTTTTTCCTGGAACAATGTTATGTATACAGGTTGTAGAATGAACGTTTTTAAACTGTAGTTATTATTTCAGTGATGTCGTTAAGTTACACTCACTATATCTGGACATTACATTTTGTTTAATTATGAGCTGATTGCATAGGTATAGAGTGGGAGAGCCGTGCTTCGGCACGAATGGGTTGGCTCGACTGGAATGATAACACGGCCTCAAAGAAAACCGTTACGCCGTGGAGTGTGGTTACCAGATGCCAAATCCATACCCTCTTCCAATCCCTAAATCCCGAAACCCTAATCCCCAAAAGGTCGACAACGCACTCTTAACTCTTCCATTGTTATGGGTGTCCATCGGCGGTGCTGATTGCTTACCATCAGATAATCAATAGACTCTTTTGCCGCCCTATCACATAAAAATGCCTAGTGTAGGTAATTTAGTAAATTCTTTTTTTTTGTTACGATGATAACAGATCTCATCATTAATTATTGTTTTCGGTTTACTCACGTAGTAATTTGACGAGATACACGACTTGTTTCAAGCCATGCTAGAGGCCCATATTCATGAGAAGCATTCCGCCGCACGCAACGCGGTGACTGTCGAAAACAAAAAAATAATAATTTAGAATGTCTCACCAAAGTAATAATAAAAAAGATCTCATGATTATCATCAGACTGCAGATAAGATGTAATCGAAAGCCAAAATTACCATTTTTTTACTTACATTAAACGTGATGCAGGTGTTACAGTTTTACTACTTTGGTACAAGTTACTCCATCTATCATTTCAAGTTTGAACTTATGCGGTAGTACGTTTCGTGACAAGACACGAAATACATTTTATCAATTCCTATAAAACTATTACGAAACTACTGAATATGTCAAAAAAACAAGAATAAATAATAAAACAAACGGGGTGAGCTTAATAAAACCGTTTAAAAAAAGACACGTAGCGCATAAGTAATGACAAATTTTTATAAGACCTTACCATGTCTTTCATCATCATAAAATAACACAATGCTAATGTCAATTTTTGAAAAATGTATTTTGTTAACTGCATAGAATATTTTTCGTTGTTCTTATTTTCCGTGTAAAGTATATTGTATTTTCTTAATAACATAATAAAAAATATCGAATCGATTATAAAATCGCCTAAATACTAGCAACACTAGCTGACGTTTGAGCGACTGTCAAAATAGACGTCGGCTCCCCGCAGTCCCCGCCCTCTTTCCTCTTGACATTTTGTTCAAGACGAACGTTTATTTTTCGGCATCACACGTTTCGTGTCAAAGCGACTTAAAAGTAAGTGATAATTCTGAAATATTTCTGTGTTTATAATGTTTAGTGTTTTAGTAATATGTGTGTAATGTTATATTGCACGATGGAAGTGCTAATTGTGTGATCAACTTGGATTTTGGTAAAGCGCGCTAGACGTGCATTTTCAGCGGCAAAGTCCCGAGTGTGTTAGGGTCGAATACTCTCTATATTACGCTATAACTATTTGTAAAATGTTTCCTCGTAAGTCACGCCCAGGTATTTCACTCATTTTTAAGTCTTTCCATCCAAATGTACGCAGTTTGAAACCATGTGTTTACATTGTTTTTTCGTCGTACCTTAGTGATTTTCATTTTAGTCGTTATAAATAAATTCAATTCACTTGCACGTTGTTTTCATGCTGTTAACGTGCTAGCATTTACGTACTGGGAAGTATCCATTTACCTAGGTTAATACTTAATTAGTAACAATTTCAATCTGTCTTCATAACCTCAAAGTATGTAGGCATATCAGTGTACATTTCTTCATTGTAATTCACTCACTCAAACTTTCCAAGTGTTCAAAACACGCGCACAACGTTCATCATTATCATTGCCAAATTTTAAATAAGCGTTGTAAAATGCATCTGCATCAGATCACATGTAAACAAAGTCTTAATCTGTGAAAACGTGTTAATAATGGATCAGATAAATATTTTAAACATTATCAACGTAAAGTTACCAATTATTTATGGCTAATTTAGTATCTACACATTTAAAAATCAACAGTTAATGCCAATCTCTACATAACTTATTAATTTATAATTTTGCTTGCAGAATGCGTTACGTGGCCGCGTATTTACTGGCTGTGCTCGGTGGCAAGGCGTCCCCAGCAGCAGCGGACGTTGAGAAGATCCTCAGCTCTGTTGGTATTGAGGCTGACGGTGAGAAGCTCAAGAAGGTGATTGCCGAGCTCAATGGCAAGAGCGTTGAGGAGCTGATCGAGCAGGGTAAGCTTCATTTTATAAATTCATATGATTGTTTTTTCTGTATAGGAGCCCATAACCACATGCAAAACTACACAATTGACTTTCTGCCAGATGTCTTATTTGTTGGTTTGCCGGCTTGTAAATCTACTTTAACATATTGTATTCTTTGGTGTACACTGTTGACGTTAAGCAAACCATACTGATATCAAACCATTTTTATTTTACTTAGAAGTATTAAAAGTAATGTTTGTGTTTAGGTCGCGAGAAGCTGTCGTCCATGCCCGCTGGAGGCGCCGCCCCGGCCGCCGCCGGTGGAGCCGCGCCCGCTGCTGCTGCCGCCGAGGAGAAAAAGGGTATGTTATCATTTCTATTATTTTACTATCAAGCTAACTACAAAGACAGGGAAATATTGGACTTTATAAAGAATTTTCATGTATGACAGTTGATAACTGGGCATCATTACAGATGAATGATACATTGCTCTTTGGTGTAATAATAATGCCTAATCATGATTCCAACTATGCACTCAAAATGACATGTGAATACCTGAAGTGTACCTTACCTAGTCTTTTTAATTATAATTTAAATTTTTTTGTTTAGTTATAAACTACATTTTAACTTATTTGAAATTTTTAATTATTGTAAGTTACTGCAAGAAAATAATTATTATCTGTTTTCATGATGATTTCAATCAACACCATCTTTCGACTGACAGCCTGTGCTGCTACTTACCATTACTGATGCATCTACCACAATGCATACACTGTTTTATCTTCTACTCTGTGCTAACTCCCTCTCTTATTCATTGCAGAAGAGAAAGAGACCAAGAAGGAAGAGTCTGAATCAGAAGATGAGGACATGGGCTTCGGTCTGTTTGACTAAATGCACTTCGCAGGTGAGTTGATACTATTGTACTTCTGTTTCTACTAGAATTGACTATCGATTATAGCAAATGTTTTCTACTTACATGAACAGCTAAAGTTAAAATCATTCTTATTATTAAGAAGATAAGTTTTTATTATTTTTATGATGATTTCAATCAACACCATCTTTCGACTGAAAGTCCTTGCTGCTAATTACCTAAACTGATGTATTTTTTCTACAAGACCTACTGTTTAATCCCATAGTTCAAGCAATAATTTTGTTTTGTCTGTTGTTTCAGCTCGCGCGGCGCTGGTCGTTATTCCATTTCCTATGGTTTAAGCGTAAAATGTCGGCATTTATATTTCTATGAAATATATTGCTAAATAAACAGTTTTGCATTTTTATTTATTAAAACACTTCACATAATAATTAAAACACTTTATTCATAAAATAACATGGTTAATGGTTGGCTATTAAATAGTGCATACTTCTTTTTGTCCTATTTTAATCAATGTCGAGTTTTTTGAAGGATCCTTCCACACTCCCGAATATATCTGAGATAGTCTTAGGCTTGCCTGGTCGCTTAGATTCCACAACTCGCTTCTTATTCTCTTGGACGAAGAAATCTTTGTTTGCTCTTAGTCTGGCAAGCATTTCATCTGAAATAGAACAACAATTCATAAGGAAAGTTTCATGAACAAGTAGGTATTTAAAGGTTTAATCAATGTTCAAAATCATCCTTGGGGAGACATCTGCAAAGCCATGCACTATGGTCCTTCCTTTAACATAACTAGGTGCACATTGCTCAAGTAATTTGACAGAACTTTATTATTACTTAATCACGCTTCAAATGCTTATAAGCATTGCTGTGCATTAGACGAACCTCGCAAATTCAGCATTCTTTGGATCACGGTTTTTTCGTTTGGAAATCAAATCCGAAAATGTTTCAAAGTAGCGCGTGCCTACTATTCAGTTAATTTCAAGAACATGATTAATCTTGATACTTGCCTCTACATTCATTAAATGTCTTGAACTCGCCGCCCGCTTCCTTGGGCAATCCAGTCATCGGGACGAACTTGTCCAAAGTCTTGGCTCCGATCTGATGAATGGTTAGTACTTCCAGCAGTTCCTTCTTCATGAATGGCTTGATCATCATCATCAGCCTGTCCATGAATGATGGCGCGTTTAGAAAGTGCAGCCCTTTCACTTTTACTAACATGGCTTCCTGAAAACATGAATATATTGAGGCAGTTAGAATGATGAAGTTCTTTATATTGCAAATACAACTATATGCTCCTGTTTATAGCTTAGACAGGAGCATAATTATAGTTGCTTTATAGCTTATAATATGTATAATGCATCAGTTTTATTCAATTGTCAAAATCCCCCTATAAAGGTCATAAAATGCTTTTGATCTTACCTGTAAATAATACAAGAACTGCTGAATGGTCTGCACATCAAGTTTGGTGAGATGTCCTAGCTTGAGGCCGTCCAGGTCGAAGATCAGCACGAATCCTGGCCACGTGCCCTCTTCAAACTGCCATAAGTCCAGGATCATTAACACTGACCTGCAAATTTAATTATTAAACTGTTATCTCAAGACAAGACTACATTTTATAATCAAAGAAGTCTTTGTAGCTTGTCCAATCTTCAATTGATTTTCAACTTAATCGCCTCGTAATAGATTTGATAATTTGGGGCGCTGGTATCTACGAACCTGAGCGACTTGGCAAACTCGAAGTTTCGTGGCTCATAGTCTAGCAGCCGGCAGTAGAATACGGCGTCACCATTTCTTGACCGAGTGGGCAGCGGTTGTAGTAACCTGCAAAAATGTGTTTTGATTTAGATTAGGATTCACCATGTATACTTAGATTAAGTACCTACCTATAATTAGTCCATGAGCGAAACAAACAATAATTTGATAATTATCACTCAAACTTCAATCAACAACTATCGACTTCGGGAGGGAGTGTCAGACTCTTATTGACTAAAAACCCCCCTGTTCCTTCTCCTGCTCTGGATAATTATCACCCTAGGATTACTGAATCTACTTTTTTGATATGAAAGGACGGCAAACGAGCAGGTGGATAACCACAACAGAGGAGTTACGATTTGCCGGTTTGGTAATCTCACTCACACAGAGTAATACAACTCTGTGGTTGTTTCACGCCGGTTTTCTGCGAGGCGATGGTACCACTCCGGTCGAGCCGACCCATTCGTGCCGAAGCATGGCTCTCCCACACTTACATTCCTTCGTGCAATTCAATCATTACAAACATTGGTTCGCACTCTGTCAAATCACGTAGTTGTTAGTCTCATAAGGTTCAGCAATTAATTATACTTACACTTTATGAAGATTATCTTCAGTCTTGTTATCGACGGCCCTGTCCTTGAAGAAGTTGGTGAACAGCGTCCGCAGCGTGTAATGCAAGTCCAACACTTGTTTGGACACCTCCGCGCTGTGGTCGCAGCAGTGGAAGATCAGGATCAGGTCTAGATCTGGAAAATGTACAAGGCTATGGTTTAGTTTCACACGTACAGGTGTAGGTAATCTAGGAAGGCAGTAAGTGTTCACCAACTTCGGAAGAAACGCACCAAGTTTCCACTAGTCTTAAGCATACCTACTACACACAATGGTACAAAATCGATTAAGTAGGTATAGAATAGAATTACGCCTTAAACAAAAAAAAAATATTTGAAGTTTGTTCAAGATGAGATCGAAATATTGTAATATGTTGCCACAATCGAGAAAGGGGCTTGTGCCCGAATGATAAACTGTTCTAAATCTTATCATTGCCTAAATATTGTGGCCCGATTTAGTACATATTAAAAACAATATAACTTAAATCTGTGAACATTAATATTCCATAAGCCATCTAGATTCAGGTTAGGTCGGTAGCCATAACGAGCTGAACGTTGACGCGCAACAATAAATGCAGCGAAGTGATAGGTAGGACTACACTTGCCAAGTTCGCATACAACGCTGTGTGACTAGCATACTGATTGTAAACTTACTAAATAATTTTACTTGTTGACTCAAGACTAAATACGTTTTACTTAGGTACCGTCGTTCGACAAAAAGGAGCCTAGTTTAGGTATCTACGCCATAATGAAAGCAAGCGATAAATACATTGCTAGTGGCTTGGCTCAAGGCAATAAAATGCTATAAGTACCTGTACCAGAAAATTCAACAAAATCTGTTTAGCAGTTTATGGGATATAGCGTAACGAACTAAAGAGTGCGTGGTTATTTTAAGGCAAGTAGGTACCTATGGAATAACGAATAGTAACTTAAAGGTCATAACCAAAAAAGTATTGAACCGGCAAAAAATTAAATCCTGATTGAACAAAAAATTTTATAAATAAATGAAGTAGTACCTACGCGTAGTTGGCTCATTAACTCAGATTATCCTTGGTGCTAAAACACGCTTACCTAGACAGGTCTACCAATTCGAATAATGATTTCAAACCTTGGTAGATGGTTTAAATTATTAATACTTAGTATTTTATGCGAGGTTTCAGGGCAATCGCAATACCGCAAGGTTGAATATCGGTGCCGGAAATATACTTGTTTCCATAGATCCTTATTTAATTTTTATGCTGAGGGTGATTCTGCACAAAACAAAATACCTAATGATAATTATGTAGGTACAGCGAAAATAATGCGTTTTAAATTGATTTTTAAAAGCAAAATTGTCATCGTCGTTTCAAAACTGTAAATACAATAAATAGCTAGCTATTAAGTGCTTAAATTATATAAAAATTGTAATGTCATTGAAAGATCATTCAATTAGTTTACCATGGTCTTGCATTGTATGATATTTCCGCACATTCAAGGATCAGTTCATAAGTTAAGATGTAGGTAGTACTTACTTTTGTACGTATGAATCGTAGGTATAGATACCTATTATATTGTGGTTTATGGTAAAGATTGTAGGTATATCTGGGTGTCCATTGGCGGCGCTGATTGCTTTAACATCAGGTAATCCGTCTGCTCGTTCGCCAACCTACCTATACTTACCATAAAAAAATACTGTCTGACTTAAGTATCGAGGCTAAAGCATCTTACTCTACAGTCGCATTTGCATTCACTCAACCAACACAAGACAGTCTAAAGAACAACACTGCCTTGTTATTTCCATATTATAATTCTATTTAATGACATTTTAATAACAAAAGAAGGTGGTAAGTGTCGCTCATAATAGGCTGGTATTTAACTTTTAACCTTTTTAACCCTACCTGTAATATATTTTATTTATATTTTGTCTTTGATCTTTGTGTAGGTTTTTGTCATAAACGATTGTAAAATACAATATATGAATAGAACAGACAACATAGGAGACAATAACCTGGAATAAAGTTACGAAAAAAAAAATTAAATTCGTCTGTCAATCATTGTATGATGTCAAATAGACGGGCATGTCAAACATGAGTTCTAAGCATTGAGATAGAAAATATATAGAGGCGCCGTGTTACTATAGAAGTATACATGCTTATACAAATATGAGGGAAATATGAAACAAACTATGAAATATCATTTTTTCTCACTCTTTCTAAGGCAATAATTGTATTAGACAAAAGGGACAACAATATTTCAGTTGTTGCTTAATATGGAAACAAATCATTTTGACATTAGCAAAGTTGTAGGTAAGTGCCATGTCCGCCATCTTAAGCGCTCAGAGTACCTGAGTTTCATGGTAGTTGTCCTGTCAAACGGTTGTTTATGTTTTAAATTATTGCGGTTTTTCAGTAAATTACAAAGAACCATTTTTTTAAACTTCAAATATATATAGTGAAACAAAAAAACAATATGCCTGTGTGTTGTATTGTGCAGTGTGGTACAAAAAAGAACGAAAATCAACCTCAATTGTCTTTGTATAGGTTAGTAAACAGTTTTCATCAAATATTACTTAGAATAATCCACATAGATAGAAAAAAAAGTCACGGATACTTTAATCTATTGCCAAAGTATATATATTTACTTTTATTTCTGTCTGTGAGACAGTTTTAGTAAAAAATTGTTGTTTACGATAATATGTCAATATGGCATAGTTACGTACCATTTCACAAAAGTATCGATATAATCTCCCATTTAAAATTCAACATATATTATACTAAATAATCTATTTTAACAATGAATGTTTCCGCAGTTTTGTGTAACGCTAAAGAAAGACGTCAGTATTTTGGTATTGGTTTTAGTTACATAAGTAGAAGTTCAAATTATCATGTTTTATAATTATACGGGCGCGATTGACAGAGCGGCGTTGGCGACGATCCCAGTGCGACCACCAAGCGTAATAATAAAAAGTGAGATACATACAATAAGATTGACTTCACTACATATCTATTTTGTGCTAACGTAGTTTCGAAGATATCATCGCTTAATCAGAC